GATAATAGATTGGGTGGTTAACGCCTGCAGTGGGCCGTGCCACGCCACCACGCCCATGGGTATATTTATCACTATGAGCGCAACCATTTAACAAATGGTTACGTTGGCTTTTTGCTGTGGCTAATCAATGGTCATAGTGCTATCTTATCACATCTAACTATTTGTTGCAGTGGGAGGTATTAAGTTAAAACCCCTCCCTCTGAGTGGCCAAAATCATACTAACTTTATCATGTTAATATTTATATGGCTGCTTTTCATGCTTATCTTCACTAGTGTAGAATATAATTAATATTTTATATAAGATCCATTTTATTGAGTTTGAGAATAAAAGTAATAAAATATGAGTCATGAAAATTCACACTCTAGTACTCTACAAAGCTCTGGTGGCTGAAGTAGTATTTTGATATGAAAACCCAAATGTGTGGGTTTGAAATCCACAGAGAATAACATTACATCCAGAGTCAGTTTCTCAGCTTTTAAAATAAAAAAAGTATGAATTTATTATCTTCAAATAAATTTATTATCTAATTTAATTTATTATTTCTAAGTTGAAAATCTGTTTTATATGTATCAAATGTTGTCTTTCATTAATTTTTCTATATTTTTATTATTTCTTGACATCATCATTTAACACTAAGCATTTCTTCTGTAATATCAACTCTTATCTGTATTTAACATTATACAAAAACTTGTCATAAGCACTGCTTGCATTTAAGTATAATAGAAGAATAATAATAATAATAATAGTAAGAGAGTATAAGTTGATTTGAAGCTAAATGTAATTACTTATTAAATTTCAGTGACGCTTTTTAACTGTAAAAATTGAATTTGAGCAGTGCAATATTTTTAAAACCACCCTTCATATAGTAATATACCATATTAGATATATATCCGCGTTTAATAATTGGTTAAAAGTCATCACAGTATCTAACCTGTGGCTGTGATCCTGGAAGGTAAACACAGAAAATACATTCCTCAGGAACAAATGGATTCGTTCTACAATCTATGTTTGCGTGACATAGAATAGTAGTACAGAACTCAAATCTAGAAAAGATAGATTTATCAAATTGATTGTTTTTTAAATTGACTGTGATTTCCCGATGCTCAGCCAATTTATTAGTAGATAGAAAATGAGGCTGAATTGAATGTCTACTCTGAATAAATTCATCAAAATTATTTTCAATATTAGTAATTGTGAATTTTAAATTATTATATTTAATAAAATATTAATTTAAAAAAAATATAAAAATATATTTTATTACTTACTGCTGTTACTGTATAACAAATGGTATTAAAAATGAATATTAATAAGATAAAAAGATTCATATTTATTTATATATATTTTATAAGAGATAAATTAACAAGTTTGTTAACAAAAAAAATAATAAATAAAAGTGATATAAAACATTCTTTAATATAAATTAGTTATATTATATATTAATAAAAAGTTCAATTAACTGTAAATTTTTAATCAACTTTTATTAACTCAAAGTCAGCAAAATGTTAATCTATTTTTAAATTCTATTTTTAATATTCAAGAAGTTTGTTATTGAACTCAAGTAAAAATTTATCTTATTTTGTTAATGAATTACCGTAATCAACCACTAACCCTCATTTCCATCGAACGCTCGCCATTTCACCACTACTATGATGGAATCATCTTAATGATATCTCAATAATGCAAGTAGATTTTAAGATAAATATTATATGATGAAAATAAATACATAAAATTAGATACAAAAATATATAGTTAATCTTTGTTTGGCTTAGTAACGCATTTAGAATGTGAAATCTTGAAAGGAGGCAGATTCAGCAAGCAGACAATCATCAAATCAGTAGAGATTGCAATATCATCAAATCCTTCTGACAGCGGATTTGTAAATACACTGACAGAGCTCTGAAAACATGATTTAACCACTCTTTACAAAATTGAGGGTCTGATTTTCTGATTGGAAGGATGATTTTTAAATTTTTCAATCTTTTTCTTATTTAATTGTAATTGCAGCTGTACAACAATTCATTTTCTCCTCTTTTTTTACTCTCTAGTCTTTCTTGCATCTTTAAGCTTCTTTTCAATCTGTCATTGAGCAGCTCTTGCAGTCTTATTCATCTCTTTTTACTCCTTTGCTGCTTGGCAGACAGCATTTCATTGCATTTACTGCTTTATGATATCTGCCTTCTTTTGCTTTTTAAAAATAGCATATTGCCACTTAGCATCTTTCTTACAAGCCTCCTCATTTTTTTTGATAGCTTTAAAAGCCATCATTTGCTCACAGATGTGCTGCATCTTTGCTGGTGAAAAAAACTATATCAATGATAAATTTAAAGAATCTAGCAATTTCATGACTGTGTCATGTTTGTGATATTTTCATTCTTGATTAAAAGCTTGCTATAGCTGCTTATTCTCTATTAAAAGAATCTTTTTATCAAGAGCAAGATTTTCCCCCGCGTGGATCAGTTGATTGAGATCATTAAATATTCAACACTGCTGCTGCTTGACTTGTTTAATCATTTTCCACATGTTAATAATAGAAATAGATATTCTTAATCTATATTACATATTTGAGAGGATGCAAGACTATATTACAAGCTTTTTAAAAACCCATTCCAGATCAAATGAATGTAGGCCAGCAGCAGTGAACGCATATGCAATATTTGAAAGTGTAAATGTTTCATATCATGCAGGATGAAATAGCTGTCAAAAAAATCTCTTTGTAATGTGTATGAATTCCATTCTAGTTCTCATTCATTTATTCAATTGCTTGGAGTATGATTTGCTCAATGATTCAAATATTTCAATATCTAACAGCTGTAATCAGTTTATAGAATGAGAAAATAGAACAGCAAATAGAATCTGATTTCATTTTATATAATTAATGAATGTTATATTAATATGAAATGAATGATTATTTAATATAAAAAGTCTGTATCTGCACTCAGCTTTCTTTTTTGTAAGTGGTTTAAAGATCTTTTTTAATCATATTAATTCATATTCATCTTTGCTTCATTTATTTTCTGAAGCAGTAAAATAGGCTTGATTCTTTTCACTATCAAAATTCTTCAGTCAAGTATCTTGCATATCTCTTAATTCTTTTTAATATATGAAAGCAGATGAGAGAGCAGTTCTATCAGCATAAATTGCAGTAAATAATATAATAAATTCTCAACTGTCATTCTGACTAGCATTTATCACACATCCGGATTTGAAAGCAGTAATCAATATAATAAGTTTGAAAGTGTGAATGAGTTTTAATAGAAATCGTTTTTCATTAAAGTTGTAAATATTGTCAGATGTAATGTGACGGCGCCGAGGCGGTTGCTACTCGGCAGCGGCACAGAGGAGGATGGTATATAATGGGAAGCCTTATGGGTGGGCTTGATTATCTCGCTTGAACCGCGAACTCGTAGAATACTATACAAATACTGAACTACCAGAGGTACTCGGCACACTAAGAATATTGTATGAGGACAGTGGTAACTCTGGTATCTTATTGTCAAAAGATAAAAGACGAATCGCTGGCTCCTGGAATAGAGAACCAGCATCTAGCTATTCTATATAGACAACGGGCAGCCATCCTCCCCTCACTCTATGAGCGAGGGTAGCCGAAGCAATTCCGCAGTGGCGCTGCATTGATCTGCCAGAAGGAATCTACTGACCCCGTATAGAAACAGGATTCTCATATCTCATCAATCGGATCCTCTTCTATTGCATCCGAATGATGTCATAGGGTGGTTGGAAACCGGTTCGGACACCTGCGTGACGTCATGGGATAGATGGGATTATCCGAGGGGAAACGATGGGCCGTGTGGAGCCGTCACGGGGCCTTGGCACAACCAAGGGTGTGACATCAGATTCAATATTGTATTGTGCAATCTTTGTCTACAGCTGTCAGATTAAGCATGATCAGTAAAATAATCATCAAATTTCATAATACAAATAAAAAAGTAGTAGTAGTAATAAATCTATTACAAAATCAAAATAATGTTTGAAATATGTTGAATTGTCTGCATTCTTACATTTTTTATTGATATTTTGCAGGTAAACTGACTTGATTACATTTTTGTGATGTTGGCAGAATCTTGTCACTCAGTTGATTTCAACAGACACTTTTAGAATCTCAATAATGATATTATAAAGGATTTGAGGCATACAAAGGAAACTGCAATCTGTCAATTGATTGATATGAAAAAAGAGCTGTTCTTCTTGCAAATTTGAAAGGTTTTTGCAGTGGATAGAGATTGCTTACTTTCTTGACACTGGGAGATTGTTATAACACCGTGATAATGTGTGGCAGCTGATTGTATATTTTTTTGCAGTTGTAGTGTAATTAGGAACCAACTGCAAGTTCAAATCATCAATCGCTGCTAGTATAACTGCTTCATGGTGCATGTTGTGGGTGTTTGAAGGTGGATGAATGAAGGGAGAATTTGGCGAGCGTTAGGTGTAAGCGAAGGGAGAATTTGGCGAGCGTTAGGTGTAAGCGAGCGTTAGGTGTAAGCGAGCGTTAGGTGTAAGCGAGCGTTAGGTGGTCATCTAACGACCGCTCCCACCTAGTTAACGATCGCTCATTTACAATTCAACAAGATGATTAAAATCTACGATATCTCAACAACGCAATTAGATATTAAAAGTATATATACCATTAAAAGTACCTACAAAATACACTATAAAAATATAAATAGTTAATGTAGTTAATACCTGCTGGGTTTGATAATTCACTCAGAATGTGAAACTCGCTGTCCAGCAGTGTTGGAGCCAGCAGAGGCAGCAGCAGCTGCACTTGATGCTGAATCTGCAGAATCTGCAGCAAAAATCTCAATCAGACACTGATTTCCTGATTTGAAAGGTGGGTTTTGTTTTTTAACTGTATTGATGTTGTTGAAGCTTGCGCAGGTTGCTGCTTTGAAGAGATCTGCTCAGCTTGCTTTCTCAATTGTGTTTAAAGCTATATAACAGCACCTTCTTCCTTCTCTTTTTGCAGCTGAGCTTTCTTTAAATCTCACTGCTTCTTTTCAATCTGATGTTTGACTGCTGTGATTTCATTGACTTTTTCACACTGCCTCACAGCCTTCTTGTAAGTCTTTTGACATTCATTCTTCTGTTTGGCAGTTTCTGCGGTCTTTTCTTTATTAAGAATTGTATGTTGTAGTTGTGCCTCCTGCTGACAAGCTTGGGAATCAATTTTGAGAACTTCTGCCGCAGCGGCTTGCTCACGGGCGGCTCTGACCTGGGTTGGAGAAAAGAATTGAGCCTGATAAGGATTTGATGAATCTAGCAATCCCATTGCCTTTTCACGTTTACATCACTTTCTCTCGCGATTGAGGGCTTGCTGGAGATTTCGATTTTCTATTAGAAGAAGTTCTTTATCAAGAGCGAATTTCTCAGAGGCATGTAGTGCTTGGCGAATGTCAAGAGAAATTTGACATTGTTGTTGATTTATCTCCTTCATCAGATTCTTCATTTCATCAATACATGTAGAAGTCTTAAGTTCTAGAAGCTCTGATGAAGTCTTAAGCTGTATAATCTTTGCAAGCATATGTTCAGAGTTGAAAGGTGAGATGCCAGCAGCAACAAATGCAGTCTCAATATTAGAAGATGTAATAGCAGTTTCCCACCCCTTTTTAAATAAATGTCAAAAATCTCTTTTTGTAGTGTGAATGAGGCCCAATTTAGTCTGTATATTCTCATTTAACTCATTTGAATAAGCTTTTGCCAAAGATTCAAATATCACCAGATTCAGTAGTTGTAAACAGTGAATGAAGTGAGGAGAAAGAACTATCAGTAGTATTTGATTTTGATCTGTGTAGTTGATGAATTTCATGTTGATATAAGAAGAATGATTATAACAGATTAGCATCTATTAATAGTTAACTTATGCAATCAACTCCTCTTCTGAACCCATTCATTTCTGTCATTGTGACTTTATATAACTTTTGATGTTTTTTTGCTTTGTATTCTGTGCTTATGTAGTCTCTAACAATTCTTCTGTGTAGCTTTTAATGTTCTTCCACTTCATACTCTGTGCTTGTGTAGTTTCTAATGATTCTTTTGCATAGCCTTTAACATTCTTCTGCTCCGCGCTCCACTGTGGAGCGGCTTCTGATATTCTTCCACCTTAATTTTTTCTTCTATAAAAACCCTCTTCGTACGACCTTTCCTTTTGATCTCTTTTCTCTTTCTTTCCTTAATCAATTCGTAATTTGTATTTAGAATAGTGTTAGTGTGAGAGGTGAAAAGCTTGATTGATTAATTGCTAGTTAAGCGGACCATTTTATATAAAGTAAGAGCGTTACACGAGACACATGGTTGTCTCACACCCCCACTCTCTATAGAAATAGTACACGCAGCTACATACAAAAATCGCCCTGAAAGCAAGTACCACTATATTGAATTTGTAAAGAAAAGTAAAAAAGGTAAAGAAATAACTGCCCCCTAGCCCTTCATCTTAATAATATCCCTTCAATGTGTATATTTAATTACTCCGAGTGGCTTAGTAAGGCCATCCACAGCATTCTTAGCAGACAGAATGTAACAGAGTGATATAAGGTTCTTGCAGACAAGATCCCGAAGAATGTGGAATTCAACATCTATATGCTTAGACCAGCATGGAATCACCTGCAAAGAAGAGAGCTCTATCACTGACTTATTGTCAGTGTGAACTGTATACACCAGGCCATTGACCGGCACGGGGATTGAATTGTCATTGAAATTGAAATTATTCAGATGAGATAGCAAGAATTCAGCATTCTCTAACAGATTCTGAAGACAGATCAATTCATAAACAGCTTCAAACACTGCAATATACTCCATCTCAATTGATGATTTGAATATGCTGATTTGTCAGCAACTGCATCAGGCAATGGAGCCATCTGTTATATAGATAATGTAATCTATGGTGGATCAGAATCTCAGATTCCTACCTGCTCAATCAGCATCAGCATATGCTACAAATTCAATATCAAGATTCTTGTGGTAAAAAACACTCTCATTAAATTTGCTCTGTAAATAGCAGAGCATACATTTGAATGTGACTCAGTTTTTAAAGATAGAATGAAATGTGAATCATTGTAAGAAACCCGCACTAAGGTGCCAGTACTAGGCCGGAATTAGCGATAGCCTTAAAGATATGACATCGCCGAACATAGCACCACCAACGTCATATCAGGTTTGAAATCAAGGCATTATCTTGCCACTTGCATCATACTACGCCATCTACATCATAGCTCAGCATTGTAAGGATTGACACAAAAATCTGAATTCAATAACATTTTCCACAATTTCTCATATTATAAAAGAGTTGCTTGCTTGAGTCTGTAGAGTTTTTGCATTAATTCACAGACAAAATCCCCACAATCCTTGTGAAATTTAGTGAATTGATTCATATATATTCATTCAACAATGAGTCATTGAATGTTCAAAAATGCAGTAATCATATCAATCTGCAGAATATATCACTCTCAAAATATTGAAATCATCATAATCATTCAAAATAATAAGATAAATATTACTGAGGTAAATGTTTTTAAATAATTCATCTTTTTCTGCTGATAATTGCCACAAATCATTCAATGTGCTTTATAATGAATAATTTTACTTATATTATTGAGCTTATTATCAAAAACACATTGATTGTGTAGAATCATCATATCAGAGATTCTCTTAATCAACCATCAAATATTAATCTGCTTGAAATGATTAACCTCTTTAACATAAACACAGTAAAAATATTTTCAATCAGAGGAAGTTCTGACCTGATTCAAATTCTTCAGAACTGACAAGTTGATGATCTTCAAATTAATGAGTAGATTAATATTCTTAACAGAAACTTTCTGTCACACCCTTGGTTGTGCCAAGGCCCCGTGACGGCTCCACACGGCCCATCGTTTCCCTCGGATAATCCCATCTATCCCATGACATCACGCAGGTGTCCGAACCGGTTTCCAACCACCCTATGACATCATTCGGATGCAATAGAAGAGGATCCGATTGATGAGATATGAGAATCCTGTTTCTATACGGGGTCTGGATTCCTTCTGGCAGATCAATGCAGCGCCACTGCGGAGTTGCTTCGGCTACCCTCGCTCATAGAGTGAGGGGAGGATGGCTGCCCGTTGTCTATATAGAATAGCTAGATGCTGGCTCTCTATTCCAAGAGCCAGCGATTCGTCTTTTATCTTTTGACAATAAGATACCAGAGTTACCACTGTCCTCATACAATATTCTTAGTGTGCCGAGTACCTCTGGTAGTACAGTATTTGTATAGTATTCTACGAGTTCGCGGTTCAAGCGAGATAATCAAGCCCACCCATAAGGCTTCCCATTATATACCATCCTCCTCTGTGCCGCTGCCGAGTAGCAACCGCCTCGGCGCCGTCACATTACAGGTTATCAAATTTCAAGAGATGAGTAGTAGAAGACTCTGTAGAAATAACTGCAGTCATCTGATAGACTGCACTTGAAAGATTCTTTGAATCCTTGATAAACAGAGCAGATGAGTTGATGAGATGAAGATTATTTTAAAATATAATGTTTTTGAATATATATAAACACTCATTGAACAGATCAATCAATCTATAATTAATAAAATCATCATACCTTACAAAGGTTAATTCTTTCAAATGAGACATCATTTTATTAACAGATTTGAGAATAATCTTTTAAAACCGCCTTGCAACCTCAGCAGTGAATGCTTCAGGCTGATGAAAGAGCTTTCAACCAGGTTTCATATAAGATAATTAACTTTAAACTCTTGAAACCGCTGTACAGATTGATTGATGTTGATATAAAGTTAATTAACTTTGTGATAGCAATCACTGCCTCACCCCACATCTTAAATGAGATGAATGAATTCAAAAGCAGAGACCAGGCTTGCTTGAGAATCAGATCAATAAAATACTCAGATATATCATTCTACTAAAATGTGTTGAAAGAAATTGATTCTCATTTAATTCTCTCACTCAGCATATAAGCTGTGGCTGCTTTGAAATTGAATTCACCATAATCTGAATGTAGAATTGCCATGCCATAGCTTAAAAGATTTTTTATAAATTGATTGAAAATCCACATATATTTTAGCATCTCATTCTTACATTTCAATAAGAATATTCATCTCATTTGAATGGCATCATTTGTAAGAACCATGGTGAATTTCTTGCTGATGTATGAAGTTATTTCCTTTTCAGAGTTAAGTGTTCAAACTCCATTGAAAATATCCACTCAAATCTTGAGAGCTTTGCAGATGGCACAACAGAGCATTGAATTTTTATAGAATGCTCATTTTTACCAGGCTTTTACATATATAGAGTAAAAAGACAACTTCTTTAAATCATTTATCACAATTTCAAATCAGAGATCATAAGTCATTTTCAATAAATTTGCCTTGCTGATATGATCCAATCTTCAGTACCATTTGTCAATTGATAGCTGCTTTGATAAAATCATCAACAGACAGAATGAGAGGGAGATCATAAAGAAATCAAAAACAGAATTTTTGAAATTGATTAATTGCTGGATTTTTGATCAGATAAAGAACTCTAGAGAGTCTGCATTTGAGTTGAATTCTGTGGATACAGTTGTTGATCTAGACATAGCAACATACAGCATGCCGTCACATTCAGAATCGTTCATTATACCATTGAATATCAGGGGATTGTCGGATAGAATTGTAAGCAGCGATGTTGGAAATGGCTGCTTATATTTCGGTTGGTCCTTAGGACTCTACGAGGATCAAGCAGTAGGAGATAATACGGTGATATATCGGAGAGGATTCGGATCAAGTAGTTAGATATTGAGGGTGTAGAACGTAGGGGTCAGATTATAACAGAATGATCCGCTGGTCCCTAGAAGGTTGGACCAGCTGCTAGCTATATACACACAGTATCATAAGCAGATCGAACTTGCTATGATGTAGATGGCGTAGTATGATGCAAGTGGCAAGATAATGCCTTGATTTCAAACCTGATATGACGTTGGTGGTGCTATGTTCGGCGATGTCATATCTTTAGGGCTATCGCTAATTCCGGCCTAGCACTGGCACCTTAGTGCGGGTTTCTTACAAGAATGTAGATATTATCACATATCAGAGTTGCATAGAACACATCATTATTTGTGAGAGACAAGAATTCAAAGTAATTTCCAGTGTCAATATGCATATCACAGTGAATAAAGCTGTGATGCTTCATTAATTCAGTGGAAATGAGGTTGAATGATAGTCTTGACATGTAGTAAACATGGACAAATAATATTAACCTCTCATCAACTGATATAGACACCACGCTGATGGCTTGAATCTTGAGAATCACTTTATTGATGACTTGAATGTTGAGGCTGTTGATTGAATTAAATGTTGAAAAAAAGGGGTTTATTGCTTGTAATATAGCAACCGGCGCCACTATCTCATACAGTAAAAGGATTCTTATATGGTTTAATTAAACAGACTAGCAAGTTTATCACCTCAATGAAATTCATTAATTGATAAATCTCACTTTTATTATTGTTTTTATTCTTATTCTTATCTTTCTTCTTCTTATTTTTTTTTCTCCTTCTTCTTCTTATTCTTAAACTTTTTAAACTTAGCAGCATTATTGGTTTTCCATTCTTCAGATGCTTGATCAGTATTAATGAATCAATATATAAATTTAAAATGAGTTCTTTTGCATTCATAGCAGATCAATAATAAACACCCCATCCTTACAACTACCCACGAACGTAGGGGTACATTTGAATTTTCCACTTTTCCAACTGTTTTTCGTATAATTTTAACCCTCCAACCCGTTCAATATCATCGCACGCCCTCTGCGATCTCTCTACGTGTGTGTACTGCACAGGTTGAGTGGTCATGGAGCCCTCAACGCCCTCCCGTCCGCCCAAGGACATCGAAACGGCCTACACCAGGCCACTGGAGCCGGAGTCACCGGCCAATTTTGTCGCTGGAAAGGCTGGCAAGAGGCAGAGGAAGACTGTCACAATGCCTCCCCCAGTCCTCAAAGGAGCCAGCGACAGCATCCCCACGGCCACCTCTCGGCTGCAGAAGCAGTTTGAGGGGGCTCAGCAGCAACAGAACCTGCAGCAGAAGGCTCTCATCAGATTGGCGAAGACTCTGGACAGCTGGGTTGAGGAGGAGAAGCAGCCAGTCAGTCAGAACTTTGCCCGAATCTTCTGTGAGAGGTTTGTCAAGTATGTGACAGCAGATCTGAGTGCAGCATCAATTCTGAGAGGGGGTGCTGCCCCGGATACTCATCCGCAGCCAAATGCAGCAAAGACAGCTGCGAGGGAGCCGACTACCTGGGCGGGTGTTGCTCAGAGGGGGGAAAACTCTGCCCTCCCTGGGGTTGCCCCTGCCAAGACTGCGGCTTCCTCGGCAGGCAGGGCTAGTGGAGCTAGCCTGCAGCCCAAAAGCGCCAGTCAGCCAGGGGGCCCCACAGGGGGCACAAAACAGCAGGAGGACCCACGAGTCCTCGTCACCCTCCAGCCAGAGAAACGGGTCGCCCGGCTACAGCCATATGCTGTGCGGCAGGCAATCGTTGCAAACATTCAGGGGGTGGTGGATGTGGCCAATGTGCCGAAGGTGGAGCCCACCAGGACAGGTTGGGCGATCACACCAAGCGACAGAGGCATACGCGACGCTCTGACCATTGAGAAGGCAGTGGCTACTCTCTGTGAAGTCCTTGGCGCCACGGAGATCCGGCTACCAGAGCGGTGGTACAATTATGCTGTCCCAGGGGTCCCAGAGTCTGTCCAGGACTGGGAAGGGGCAAGAATCCCCACAGACAAGATGATTGAGGGAGAGGTTCTGGCTCAGGCAAAGGTAAAGCCAGTGAGCTATCGACCCTCGCGTCATGGGGTGAACCCCAAGACAGGGAAGATTACATGGATTGTCTCCTTCCTTGCCCCGGTAAAAGGCTTCTCACTCTTCAATGCCAGTGAGAGGGCCAGGCTGATTGAGAAACGGCCTTTGGCAGTGAGACATAACCCAGGATGCCAGATGTTCTGCCACCCACCAAAGTGTGCGCGACTGGCAAGATGCTCCAACTGCAGTGAGCCCACAAGCCAGCATGAGGGGCCAACAGGCGCGGAGTGCAAGAGAGCGCCAAGATGTGCCAACTGCTGCCAACCCTACCCAGCTGGGCATCAGCACTGCCCTGCCGCACCCAGGCGCGTGAATGGCACCCTCAGGCGCCTAACTCAAAAAGAGCTAGCAGCTGTTCGCCGCCTTGGCGACAGGTGCCACAGGGATGCTCAGGAGCGACAACCGCCGCCAGCACAGCCAGCACCAATGGTCGCAGTGGTGGTACCTCCACCAACCACTCAGTCAACCCAGTCAACACAGCCCGCTGGGCTAGCACCCCGCAAGCGGGCGGCTACTCAGAGTTCCATCAGTGAGGAGGGTGCCACCTGGCAGATGGCCCGCACCAGGCGACGCTCAGCTCGCACGGCAGTGCGGCAGCACAGTCAAGCAGCTAAAGAACAGTCTGACTCCAGCATGCAGACGGCAGGTCTGGAGGCCTTCAACCTCATCCCGCAGGTGGACTTCGGCAGCAGCTCACCAAGTGACTCCTCATGCTAGGACACCAACACCAGCGACGCGGCTGGCGCCGCAGGAACAACCAGCAGGAAAATCGCCCCCTGCAGGTCTTCTGGGCAAATACGGCCAGGGCAGCCCCCTGTCACACAGCAGCTCTGCAGCTTGCTTTCGAGCAGGGCTGTGAAGTGGTCTGTATACAGGAGCCATACACACACCCTGGCACCAAGACTTCTAACCACCCAGCGTATGAGTGCTTTGCGCCTATAGACCGCTGGGATGACACTAACCCGGAGCAGCGAGAGGAGGAGAGGCCCCGGGTCATGACATATGTACGCAAGGGCTCAAAGACAAGGGCACAGCAACACCGGTCTGTGCAAAGCAGGGATCTGCTATGGGTCAGTGTAAATGGCTGCCACATTCTCAATGTGTACAGACAGCCTGGGACAGACGCAGTCATGGACTATCTGACCAATCTGAGCCCACCAGCCCGCTGTCTGATAGGTGGGGATATCAACGTACGGCATGATGGCTTTGAACCAGGGGCAGTGAATCTGCACCGGGGCGGGGAGCTTGTCCAATGGGCCAGTGAACATGGGATGGACTTTGTGGGAGAGATAGGGGTTCCAACTCATGCAGCAGGTCATGTGATTGATCTCACCTTTTCCAATGTGGCCTTTGCTTCCACTACAGTGCGTCAAGATCTACACTGCGGCTCAGATCACCAGTCTATGATCACTATGCTGCCAACAACACCTCAAACACAGCTGAGTGATGCTCGGATCAAGATCACAGACTCTCAGCTGGAGCCCTTTGCAGATCTTGTCAGAGGTCTCATGGTGGACATGCCTTGCCCAGAGGGGGTTGGAAATGTGGCACAGCTTGATGATCTGGCCCAGCACTTCACTCAGAGTCTTCTGGCTGCAGCTCAGGCAGTCAGTAAGCCAGCTCAACAAGGGCGGACCACAGCCCCCTGGTGGACAGCAGACTGCCGAAGAGCGCACCGAGAGCTCACCACTCACCAGACAGAGGCCGCGAAGCACCAGTTCAAGGATGCAGTGCGCAAGGCCAAGCGTGCATACTGGAGGCAGGTGATCAATGAGGCCAGAGATGGTAGAGACCTGTACCGGGTGGTGGCATGGCATAAGCTGGAACCCAACCTCAGAGCACCCCCTCTGGTGATTGGGGATCAGATCATAGAAGAGACAGCCGCCAAAGCTGAGGCACTTCAACAGGCAATTCTGAAGCGATACAACTCAGCTGATGATCTGGAGTATGACCCACTGGATGATGAGCACTGGAGCGGCATGGGGAACCTGCCCTGGAACCCCCGGATTGGGATGGAGGAGATGGAGCGCAACACCATTGGGGTACAGAGCACCTCCCCAGGCACGGATGGAATCACAGTGCGGATGCTCAAAGCATGCTGGCAGCATGTGTCCCTCTTTATACAGCAGCTATACAACTGCTGCCTCCGGCTCTGCCACTTCCCACGAGCCTGGAAACTGGCAGAGGTGGCAATGATACCCAAGGTGGGTAAGAGAGATAGAAGCTCAGTCCGCTCCTGGAGGCCCATTGCCCTGCTTTCAGTAATCTCCAAAGGGCTGGAACGCATCATTGCAAGGCGACTGGCGTCCACGGCACTCATTCACGGCATAGTCAGCCCACAGCATGGGGGGGCGCTGCCCAGACGATCTGCAATGGACCTGGTAGCTGCTTTCACTCATGAGGTGGAGGCAGCCTTCGCACAAAACAAAGAAGTGTCCATGGTCACAATGGATGTGCAGGGTGCCTTTGATGCTGTGCTGCGCAGGCGGCTGCTTCAGCGGATGGCGCAGCAGGGGTGGCCACGCGAGCTGCTGCAGCTCATTGACAGTTTCCTCACTGAACGCAGAGCTCAGGTCCGGCTGGAGGGGACCACCACAGCAGCACATCAGATGCAATGTGGCACGCCACAGGGGTCTCCTTTGTCACCAATACTGTTCCTTCTGTACCTGGCAGAGCTGCTGTGGCAAAACTCGGAGTTGCGTTTTGGCTATGCGGATGATCTGAACATCTGGCGGGCGACCCACTCACTTGACAACAATGCCACCCTTCTCAGACAGGATATACAGAGTATTCTGAGGTGGGGGGAGACAAACAAGGTGGCCTTCGCACCAGAGAAACTTGAGATGATCCATCTTACAAGAAAGCGACACAATGAGGCACCAGCAGTAGTTGTGTCTGAGGACCTCACTGTTCACCCTGTGACTGCCCCAGCTGGACAGGAGCCAGCACTTCGCTGGCTGGGTGTACACTTCGACAGAAGGCTCACCTGGAGACCACATGTCTCCACCCGGGCAAAGAAGGCAAGGGCCGTGGCCCAGCACATCCGGAGTCTGGGAAAGACCAGAGACGGGCCCCCAGCAGACGCTCTGCGGAAGGCGGTCACCACCTGCGTGGTTCCCTCACTGCTCTATGGCACAGAGGCCTGGTACGGCGGCCGCACGCAGCCAGCAAGGCACACGGGCAGGAGTGGGGAGGTTAGCTCCCGCCTGGGATGGCATGTGGGGACAGTTGAGAAGGTGCTTACTATGGCAGCCAGGGGGGTTTTCCCAGTTTTCCGTACAACGCCCATCGCTACCCTATACCGGGATGCTGGGCTCCCATCAGCAATGGTAGCTCTGGAGGAGGCCAAAATGCGATTCGCGACAAGGCTTCAGGTGGTGGATGAGAAGCACCCACTGGCTTCACGGATAGCACCTCCAATGATCACACGAGGAAGAGGGGCTGGAACCCGGCAGCGCTCAAAGACCAAGATCCAGCGGTTGGGGGCGCTGCTACCTGCAGTCAATAGACCCACACTTGCCATCCCACACTACTCAGAGGGATGCGGGACAGACCCCACAGAGGGTGTAGACAAAAAGAGTGCTGCTCAGGCATTCAAGGAATGGTGGAGAAGTCAACCCTCAACAGATCTATATGTTTTCTCAGATGGATCAGAACGGAGCCTTGACAACAGCAGGCAGGTGGGCTATGGCTTCATAGTCTATCAGGGAAATAAACAGCTGGCCAGCTTCTCAGCTGCGCTGAGCCCTATGTCACATGTCTTCGACTCTGAGGCAGTTGGTGCCTGCCGGGCATTAGAGTGCGCTGTGAAGCTCCTACCTTGTGTCACAGAGGACAGCAGCAACCCTCAGATCTGGCTCTGCCTCGACAACACCTCAGTCATCTGGGGCATACGGGGCAGTGCAGCAGCCTCCTCAAACTGGGCCTACAACCGCTGCCATGAGCTCCTCAGACAGCACAATGTCGGCCTGAAATGGGCTCCTGGGCATATGGGGATAGAGGGTAATTAGGAAGCAGACCGTTTGGCTAAGCGGGCAGTCTCATCCACTGCAGCCCCAGCCTATGGTCTCGAGGCCACACCCACAGTCAGTGGGGTCCGCACAGTGGCCAAGCAGCTCAGCCAAGAGGCAAGGCGAAAGTGGTGGAGTGGAGCCTGTGGCAAGCTCTCTGACTGGTACCGGGGCTGGAGTTTCAGCAGGCCGACTGTGGAATACCAAGTGAAGGCCCCTCCGGAGCTCACCATGCCACGGCATGCCCTTCATCGCTGGCTCGCACTCCGCTCCTCTCATGGGGACTTCTCCTGGTACCACAGGCGTTTCCAGCATGCAGATGCGAGGCTCACCTGTGTCTGTGGACACAACAAGAGCCCAGAACATTTGGTGCTCTGTCGACACTCACAGAGGCATTTTCTTCACTGGCCCAAGAGGCCAGCAGCACGGCCACACAACCGGGCGACAGCTGTTGCCTATCTAGGGTCTCTGACCCCTACAGACTTTGTAGAACTGCTGGACTGCACGCAGTTCTACACACGGTACTGCACAAGGTAACGCAGCCGGCTGGCTGCAAACCATCTGACAACCCCCGCAGCAGTTCCACGAGGCCGGCCTGCTGAGTACACCCACGGTAGCTAGTGCAACTGCCAGGGACATCACAGTCTATGCAGACAGTACAGATAGCACAACTAGGCTCATCTGTCTCAATTAGCTGTGGTGTAATCAGTACAGTCTACGTGTCTGACTCAGCTGATATGGTTTTGACTGCCGGCATTGTATCTACGCGTGCTCTGCTTTGTTTTCCTCTCGTTTGCCCTTGTCTCTATCGGCTCAAATGCTTCTTCTTCCTTCTTTTCTTTGCTCTCTCTGTCATTCTCTGCTCTTTTCCTGTCACAACCTTCTTCAGTGCTCTCTCCTTCATTATTTATCTTGTCTGTCTTTCTTCTGATGTTAGAAGCACAGACAGCTTTCTGATCAACTGAGAGAGGTATCCCTCTCTGCTCACTATAAAGCCTTCCAGGCACGGCAGCGGCGGTTCCCTCAGGGAACCACATTATAGCCCCACCATGAATGGCCATACGTCGGGCCAGAAGTGGATGCGCAGCTCAGAAAAATCCTTTGCAATGAGCTGAGTCTTCTCAAGAGTTGCCACCTGGATTCTGTTTTCTCTCTCTGTGTACATAGAAATCTCTCCAGCGTAGCACGTCTCCATGCCCTTCGGGAGGCTTCTGAAACACGGGCGCTGCCCGTGTTTTCTCCGGGACGTTAAACCTATACATACATACATACATACATGCAAGTTTCTTGCTGGCATAAGAGGATATTTCATTTTTGATTTCAAAAGTCTCATCTCTACTGAAAATATCCACCCAAATCTTAAGAGCTTTACAGGTGGTATGGTGAGGGTTTGAATTCTTATAAATGACCTGCTTCTGCTTGGTCTTGACATACATGATACAAAAGGAAAGCTTCTTTAGGCTGATAATGACAATGCTGAATCAAGGGTCCCTGACCATTTTCAATAGATTATTTTCACTGATATGACCAAGCTGGTGATGCCACTCATCAATCGGGAGTTGCTTCGGAATAATGGCGGGCAATCAGGCAGGTGCAGAAATAACAAAGAAGTCAGTATTCGGATCCTTCAAATTGATTAATTGTTCAACCTCTGAGTAGCTGAAGGGACCCAAGGATCCATCATTTGGATTAAATTCAGTTGAAATAGCTCTAGGTTTAGGAATCACCATGTAGGTGACTCCGCTGTATACCGGATCATTCATTATGCCATTGAATGTCGGAGGATTGTCGGAAAGGATGTAGATATTATTGCGGGAGAGGTTAGCATAAAACATATTGCTATCAGTAGAAGACAAAAATTCAAAGTAATTCCCAGCATCAATATACATATCACAGTGAATATAACTCTAGTATTCCATAAGCCCAGCAAAGATGAAGTTGACGGCTACAAAATAAAGGTTTATCAGACACAACAGAGAGAGATCAAATAAATAAAATAGGAAAGGAAGGAGAACAAGAAGATGGAAAAAGATTAGGCACAAAAGTAGTGCAACAATCAAGGAATGAAAAAAAATGCTTTTATAGAAAATATATATTTCAAGTCTCCGTCTGATTCTCTCGTCTGCAGGGGTATCTTATATATAAATAAAAATGACAACTCAAGCAAGATGATTAAGAAAAGGGCCATAATAGGCGAAAGTGAAACAAGGCTCCATTTGAGCTTGTGCACTGGGCCTAGTGAATATATATGAAAGAAAAAATAAAATGAGCAGGGGAGAAAAAATCAACTAAAAAAGTGGTGGATGAACGAGCGATGCGAGTGGTCATAACCAAATGGGCGTTTCAATCACTTTCCAAAATGAACAGGACGCCAGAAGGAAAAATGGAAAGCAGCCAAAGGAAGGATCTGGTCAGATACTTACTTTCTTAGGTATGTATATATGGATCAGTTGGAATCATTAAGGCGTCAGGATTTTGAAACCGTGATGGGGTAATGAGCGAAAGAAGAAATCAGAGGAAGAAGAAAACGGGGAAAGGGGAGAGAATGAGATCTTATACAGGATTAATGTAACGAAGAGCGAGTAAAAAAAAAGAAGAAGAAAAAAGCAAAAAGAAAAAACTGATCAAACTGGAAAGAAATTTACGTATATGCGTATAGATATATATGCATATATCTTACTCCTTGAAGACAGGCGCCAAAAACGATAAATAAAATAAAACATGATAGAATAGAAAAAAATCCCTTACCATTCAAATCATTGAAGCTAATAACAGCCGATTAAGACCCCTGATCATCTGCTACTCCTCCCACCCCCGTTACCATTAGCCTGCATGCTAAAATAGCCCTGATCAATTTTCAAAATCCACTCGACTTTCTGCGCCTCTGTCCTCGTCGCAAAGGGGAACGTATTCTGCGTCCCGTAAATGGCAAACAGATTTGGCCGCCCTCTCATGGACAAGCCGTGGCCATCCCGACTAGTTCTCACGCCGCCGTCCAGCAACCGTGCAAAGTCTGGTTCATGATCGACACGCGAGTTGCGAAGATTGATTGCGTTTATCTCGTCGCCGTCGGGCACGGAGTGGATGTGAAGGTATGGGACGCGGAGCTCGACGAAGCGGCGGACCCAGTTGTTATATGTGTCATCGGGTGTGTAGAGGTAGCCGGATTTGAGGACGGTGGGGTTCTTGGGTATGTGTTGGATTGTGGCTACGAAGCGAGGTCTTGACGGCTCTTGTGGGTGATGCTGTTGATGACTGGGTAGTGGCGGAGGCGACGATTGCAATGACGGTTCTGCGGGGATGGCGGAGCAATCGCCACTGGTGCTCGCTAGGCTTGTTGCAGCGGAAAAGTTTCTTGCGAAGGCAGCACCACGAGTAGGCGGTTCAGTATGATCCTTGATAAGGATTATTTCAGTTAGGTCCTTTTTAGTTGACCATAGATCGAGATACTTCCGAAGCAACATATCTCGTCGCTCGCTACCACCGTTTTGCCCCTGAAGCGGAGTAGATCGACCATTGGTCGATAACGGTGTTAAGGTGCGTGTACTCAATGCTCCCCGAGCGGCGTCTATTTCGGCAAGTCGTTGTCTTTTCTTTCGAGCACTAATGAAATCTCGGATGAGTGATACCTTTCGCGGGGCCCAATTTGTTAGTAGCTCTTCACCCTTGACATAGTCATTCTGAGTATTCATGCGCCAGAGGTCCGCTACTCGTTTCGCTGATATGGGCCGCACGGCTACGGAGAACATCCCCACGGTGGAGTGCACAACACGGATTGAGCTCCAGAATTGCTTGAACATCGACTGCGGCCGTACATAAGCCCTTCCCAATATCTGTAGCGTTTGATCGAGCTCAAATACGACGGGCTCCTGCAGTCGTGGAGAAATCAGATTCCAACGAAGGGATATCTGAACGCGATATTTGTCTGCGGTTATCCGGTCGAGTAGCAGCGACCCATGAAGACTCGAATCCCACTGCCCGACAAGTGTTACGTTGGACGTCCCATCAGCGTTGTCAGTAACCATTGGTTCTTGTATTAGTTTGAGAGGTACATCTAAAGATTTCAGGTCCGCATCAGGGATTTTCCCCCAGGGATCAAGAAGCCGAATTGTTCCGACTCTTAAATTCGTGACATCTTCCCACGGTAGGCTTTCAGTTGAATTATGAGTGAGGTTGACCACGATGCGTCGCTGCAATCCTTGATGGAGTTGATAAGTGCCAGCATCGAGACTATTGCCCTGCACCACATCGACAGGAATGTATTCACCATTCTCAGCAAGCTCAAGTATTTGTATTCGCACAAAGATATCGTGCCGTTCTTCTTGATAAAACTCGGACTCGGGAATTCGCGGCGTCTTCCTATTCTGAGGCGGTGACTCGGGAGAATCCCGCATTTCATCCCAACTGAGCAGTTTGTCAAGATGCATTGAAGTTACTAAGGCGAAAATGCACACTTTCAAGGTCGAATTCCTGGGGCTGTTGAGGGGAAGGCTCATGCTATGAACGCTCTCGAACCTGATTGAGTTTTCATCGAAGCCATTAATCATCTGCGTTGTTGTAGCACCGCCTTCGTCCGAAACACCAGGGACAAATAGTTGAGCATGCACGTCAGTTCCTTCCCGTTCGGCAAAGCCCACCATATCACGCATTACCACATTAAACTTGAGAGTCGATGAAGGTGCTTGTGCGGAGGATGGCTCGAGGGATAGTTTTATGATCCCGACAACGCTTTGGGTATATGGTGATATGGCTTCAACGGAGAAATCCTGTACCCTCGACTCAAACACCGCTGCTAATGGGATGTCAGCGTCACCTACCAGTGAGTATTGAGGGGTGCATGTCTCCGAGAAGGGATTTTCGAGCTTGAAATGCTGGATATAGTCCGGCCGGTCGATGTATTGATGCATCTGTCGCATGGACTGGACGCGACGTTGCAGCTTGTCAATAGACCAGATGTAGATAACATTGTGTTTGAAATCAATTAACCGAACTCCAATGCATGGTTTCTTCGCGTCTTCCAGAGCCACATCGTCGTCGCCTGAAATGCCGTTTAGGACTAGATCATAGGACGACGCCATATGATGTCCGACATCAACGACAACGAATTGGAAAACAACGTGCTTATCCATTATATTACTCATGACTTGTGCTTCCTTGAGTAGTGACGCGTGCTGAAGAACCGATTCGGCCATCCGAACATAATTCCGCTGTCGCCAATGCAGAACAACGGACCTGGCTATTGACATCTCTCCAGGCTCCAGTGGAGTGAATCCGGTTTCAAATATCCTCTGGGGACCTAAATACCCCATGTGTTTTATTTGGGATTCAAACTCTTTTTTCTGTCTTTGCAGTTCTTGTTGAAACTCCTCCTTCGCAACTTTGAGCGCATCTTTCATCCGTGCTTTTTCTACACGTAGCTCTTCTAAATCCGGCGATGCCGCCCCAGCGGCAGTAACAATCTTTGTTTTATACTCTTCCTTTTGCCTATCGAGCTGCTGTTGCATGTCGTCACGGACCATCTGTAGTGCAGTATTATCCACCTCCCCGTCTTCGTCGTCAGCGTGGCGCGGCGTCCCCGGCATCGTAAGAGCTGTGTCTAGGGAAAAGTTGTCGATAGTTCCATTTGACATATACTTCTCCCGCACTGGATACGAGCTAAGCGAATCGGAATCGTCCTCACCGTCGAGAAGTTTGCTCTCTGGGCGGCCCCGCCGCACTGCTCGGGCTTTCTGCACGTCATCGAACAACGCGTTTAGTTCATCGTCCGTCAGATGTGAAATTTTCGGGTCAGGCCCTAATATCGCACTCGCGGCTTCTCGTCGAGCATAGAACCAATCGGAATCCCGACCCCTGTGCGATGGCAAGGGGGATTCGGCTCTACTAGACTCTCCATCGACTTCTGAACCTGCCTTGCTCATGGATCTGTCATGTCCCATTCTTCCTGGCGCGGGGGATCCAAGCTGGCTTGTGGTGATGGAGTGCCGAAGAAGGCTTTGTTCCACCCTTTCAGCACGCGCTTCTTGGGGATGATTAAACCGGAAGATGTGAAAGTCGCCCAGAATAATCCGAAATCCACTTCGTAATCGTTTGGGCTTGTCTATGCGCAATCCATTGACCATCACCGCCGCACCCTCGTTGGGTACGATGGTAACAACATTATCGACGTTCTCAAAACTACAGTGATGGTGAAGTATTTTTGAGCCATTCAGTCGGATTTCCGAGGTTGCCGCTGTATCCACGTTACCGACCGTGGTTGTGCCCGGTTTAATGTTATAAACCAAACATTCTGTAAGCAAAGGATCATCGCTCAGGTTGACAAGATGGGGTATCTTTTTGGGAGTGCTGAGCCCGACAAATCCCTTTTCGATGCTGATACCCAATTCCTCCAGCGCCGCTTCACGTTCTTTATGAATTTCCTCGGTTTTCTGCAACTTCTCCTCCCAAGTCTGGTTGAGATCTTTGTAAAGTTTCTCGCTCTGGTTCAGTTGCTCAACGATCTCTGCCTTGCTGACTTTTTTAATCGACCCGTCGGCTTGAGCGATGGATACCATTTGTTGATCAAGCGGAGTACCAGGTGGATAAACTTCTTCAGCGAGACCGCCGCCGGCAGCGCTTCCGGCAATTGCCCCTCCACCAAGCTTGCTCCTAAGCTGCGCCAGCTCCTCCTTGAGTTCCCGGATCATCCTTGCATTAGGATCCTCGTTAACCACAGCATGATTCTTGATCCTCTTGGCGGAATCAGCGTAACGCAGCGTACTTAGCGTCTCATCGTAATTGATATCAGCTGGTGAGATTGCCGCGATCATAGCAGTCATGGAATTGCCTCCCAGAGAATCCTTCAGAAGCCACGTCAAAACGGAGTCACGGTATGGCACCATCGAGGCGCTTTTCTTTTTCCCAGCGGACAAATCAGCCAAAGCTGCAATGACACGACCAAGAGTAGAGAGTGAGCGATTGATCTCCGCACCCTCCTTGAGACGCGCGCCCGTTGCGCCGGTGGAAGTAGCTCTCTCTGAACCGGCCAAGTCGACCAAACTAATACGAGAGACCTTTTCCGTATCCATGGTTGTCTCCGTGTCGTGGCGCTTTTGTGTCACTGTAAGGGTAAAAACGGCGTGTGATCGACTGGACGTCTCGTTCATATTTGTGGCCGCGACGGTTCGCGCCTTATTACCCTCGTCCATCAAGTTCTCGATTTCCTGGAAAGACCGAACCACCAGCTTCGCCAAATCTTCAACGTAGGGCCCCGTTGAAGGATGCTCTCGAACTTTAAGGTTGCCCTTGGTTGTGGGGTTAAGCAAATCCCTGACCCTCTCGTTGTAAATCTCGAGATACGACACCTCCACCGTACACGTTAGATTCTTATCCGCGGACTGAAGCGCAGCGATCCTCAAGAACATATCCTTGCAGATCTTGGGGATAACGCCCGCTTCCTCGCCGTACCCCATCATGGAATACGACTTGCCAGATCCAGTCTGGCCGTACGCAAAAATACAGTTATTATATCCTTGAAACGCATTGTCCAGCAACGGTTTACCGAGATCTTCAAAAAGGTCATCCTGGCCGGCGAAATGCGGGTCGCTGCGGTTAAACGACCAGTAAGATTTATCGAATGCGAATACTTTCGGGCCTTCGACGGCTGCACCTCCTTGCTTCGCGCTTTTCCGTGATTTTTCTTCTGCTCCTGGTGGCGGCGTAAGTACGGTCTGCGAGCCTTTCATTTGAACGATACATTTTGCTTTACGGTCGAGCTCTGTAGCGTAGATTGCAACATACACAATCACATATAGTTAGTACCAAAGTAGTCACCAGCTGAGTAGTATATCTTGTGTGGGTATGAAGAGGGGGAGACCGAGGGAGACTGACCTCGGCCATTGAAAGGCCGCACTCTCACCACCACCTTAATATTTCCTCCTCCGCCTGGGGCCATCTTCGCCCGTGCCCCATGCACTCGGTCCCTCTTCTCTCCGCCTCCTCCAATATCAGCAATTCGAATCAGTCCAAATTTTCCGGGAAGTAACAGCCGTTGGCACCAAAATGATCAAGACGAAATCGAAGACAGATGGTGAGAAGTTTAAGAAAAAGCAGGGCCATATATATGTAACCGGACGCCGTGGGAACGTGATCCAAATTAACCTTGATGCCGATAGGAGTGCGAGGGGAATATCAGCCGGGCGATATGGCGCGCTGTGGATGGATTCGAAGCGCGTAAACAACCAACGTCATCTAAAAGGGATGACAGTGAACAAGGATATGATATACGAGGGCTCAAGATCGAAGGGCAGTTGCGGCCATTCACCAATCAAGTGTTCAACGTGCACAGGTCGCATACAGCCTCCATCCGACTGGGACGACACTCGGATCTGCTATCACGGCTGACTTGGAGAGCAAAAGCACAGGATAACATTTTTCGATGTCGGTGGTTCAGCCACAGATCGCGGCCTGGGAAATTAGAGTTATGTCACCAGCCACGCTTATGTCATCGGAGCGGTGTTCAGCCACATATTTGCTTTAGTCAGCAGCAGGCATCCCGCTGGAACAAAAACTTGAGGTCCATGGGGAGAGCGCAAGCAGTATCATCTCAATGTTGCTGCTGCTAGTCCGCTGGTCTGCTGAGCTCATCACATTGTTTCCAAAGTTCTTATATTAATTAACTATTCCCATCGGCCTGTGGCAGGTTAGCTAAGCTTTGCGTATCGCTCAGCCTTTCTACTCCCCAAAGCCAGTCCGGGTATTCGGGAAGTTGCACCGCGACATGATGATGCAGTAGATTACAAGATTTCAACTATGATGTGAGTCTGTGGCACAACGAACTCTCCGGGGCACTATTCGCCCCCGAGGTTGATCTTCTTTGGCTTCCTTCCGCTCAAGCAGGTTGGTTCCGCCAATGATCGTGGTTTCGGCAGCAGTTTGGCTCCTCCACGGCCGGGATTTCAAAATCTAGAGCCAGAGGAAACTCCAAAATTGAGACGGTCAAAAATGTTATTACCACCAAATCCTGTGGCGACGTGGCGGAAGTGAACAAAGGGGACCTCAAACTAAGACTTCATACCAAGAATTTTGATGGATGGCAAGGCTGCACACCACGTGAGGCGGCGTCCAGGCTGCGGTATGCGGTAGTTGATAGTTAACGAGTTAGTTAAGAGCCCATACTCTATGTAAGCGGAATGTGGTGGGTGTCCATCGCCATCCCCATCCTTAAATTGGAGCGCTTGCTAGCATAAAAAGCAACGAAACCTAATAGGCCCGGGTCCCACACGCTAACAATGACTACAGGAGCTGTGCGTTGCTGCTGATTTTACGGGCGCAGGTCGGCGCAGGCGCAAGTCCCAGTCCGCAAGTCCCAGGCCGCAAAGTCTCCCACCAAGTCTCCCGCAGGCTTCTCCCAGCAAAAGCCCAGCAGCTGTTCGCTGGGAGCGGCGGCAGGAAACAGTGACAGACAGCCAGGCTAGCGGCTGAACCAACTCCAAACTCCCCCAAGCCGCCTTCCTTGACTCGCAGAGGGCAAACCCCTCACTCGCTGGCTTCAACTGCCCTTAACTGCCCTTCGCTGGCCTTCACTGCCCTCACGAGTCAACTGACCCCCGTATCGGGGAATAGATCTGCTCCCGGCTATCCTGTGCCGTGTCGCACTATAAATATATGCCTATTTGGTGTCTGGCTTCCTCGTCCCCCTCGTCCCCTTCCTCCCCTTCTGACCAACACCTGGCGGCACTCAAAACAACTTTCTGGTTTGATTTGTTTTTTTCCCTCGTTTCCCCTTGTTATATCCTCTCCGGCCAGTTCTCTGTTGAAATGCCATGCAGAGCCTGCGCACGCCTCTAGTCATGTCTTGGAAGGCTTCTTTGCCAGCCAGACACTATGTTGTTTCTGGTTGCAGAGCTTCTGGTTCCCGCCAGTTAAACTCACACGGTCGAGCTTCCCTCCGACAAATTAGGAACCGCGCGTCGGTGCGCGGATACTCCACGGAACCTTCCCACGCTCCAGCAAAGAGAAGTGTCCAATTGGGAGTTGCTGCTGCAGTTGCCATCTCGATCGGCCTGGGTCTCGTAGTCTATCGACGGCCCGCAAAGCCTGTCAACCTCGACTCCAAGAAGGAATACCCGGCACACCTCCGGAACATCGTGGATGCTGCGGAACCTGTTGGAAAGTCCCTAAATCTATCCGACCTTCCTGTCGAGGAAGCGCAACTCACCAGCGCCCCCAATGTGCCCCCGCCCATTACTCGAGACCATCCCGTCCTCCTCAAGGTGCCCTTGACAACCACTACGAAGATAAAGCAACTCACCAGCACCTACAAGTATGAGCAGTGGACTTTTAACAACCAAGTGCCGGCGCCGTTTATCCGGGCGCGCGTTGGGGACGTCATTGAGCTGTCCCTGACAAACAAGGATGTGACAGGCAACCCTCACAACATCGACTGTCATGCATTTACGGGTCCTGGCGGGGGAGCCTCGCTGACAACCGCCGAAGAGAATCAAAACAAGACCGGTAGATTCAAGCTTCTATACCCTGGACTATTTATCTACCATTGTGCGGCAGCCCCAGTGCCCGTTCACATCGCCAACGGGATGTACGGTCTCATCTACGTACAGCCGGAAGAAGACCCCCTCCCCAAGGTTGACAAGGAATACTACGTGATGCAGAGCGAGTTCTACCACGAACCGCCCGAGATTGAGGAGAATGGCAAGCGCTCCTCTCTTGTTGAATTTTCATACCCCAACGCCCTCCGCGAAGACCCGGATGTGGTTGTCTTCAACGGCAGCGAGACTGCCCTCACCATGGACCATCCCCTCAAAGCCACCGCGGGCGAAACCATCCGTGTTTTCTTTGGCAACGCTGGACCGAACTTGACTAGCTCGCCACATATCATCGGGAGCACCTTCCACAACCTCTACCGCGACGGGGACATCCTCAACCCGCCAGCCCGCAATGTGCAGACGACTACAGTACCTCCCGGCGGTGCGACAATTTTTGACATGAAAGCGGTTGTACCAGGGACGTACACACTGGTGGACCATGCCATCTTCCGACTCGATAAAGGCGCTGTCGGATTCATAAATGTGACGGGCAATCCGAGGCCGGACGTATACCAGAGCAACGAGCATGCGGAGCCGTGCGTTGGGTGTAAACTGCATCCATGAGCGATGCATGCATGTGTTTGGTTCTTTCGATTCGAAAATTTTATGATTCAGTTTTACCTTACGTATCGATGATACCTGTTTCCTATCTTTCCTTTTTTAAATTTTCCAACTCATTCACTCCTAATTAAACAAGAGGCGTCCTCGCATAATATTATTTATTCCTTGCTATTATGAAAAATAAACATTCAATTATAAGATTTGTTTCGCGCAACCATTTTCTCATCATGATTTGAGTCACTATTTGAATAAATGGATGACGACTCTTCGCAATTATAAGTTTGACAGCGCATTGTTTCTCGGGTCTCAGAATCCGCCAGGGTATTCTCCAGGGTTTGGCTATTAAGCCCCGCAAATGTGCCCGGGCCGACATAGCGTCTGCAGCATCTCTCGATTTATCCTCCGGCGTATTGTCCAGGGTTGTCGCAATACAGTTATCCTAGACCAATGAGCGAAGCAGTATTACACATGATGCATAGTACTCTGCACGCTGTATGTACATCTGTCATAATCACACGATTGGGTATCCCCAAAAACCAAAATCCCATCCAATACACAGAGCAGACTCCTCGTTCTCCCTCAATTTTTAAATCGTACCGGGCCCGAAGTCCGGGTGGGGGCGCTGGGGCAAATTCCAGCTCCACCACCGCCCAGACTTAGGGCTTGGCTTTGGCAAAAAAACAACAGCAACTAAACGTCATCCATAACCTATCCATCCTTTCTCCCCAATTTCAGATCATTCTTTGTACTAGATTCTTATCTTTTGCTTTTTAAACAACGCTTGCATTTGCCCAAAACGGAGGACAGTGCGTGGGCGGAATAAGTCATGTGAATTGAGAATGCACCTTCGGCCTAAAATATCCATTCACGACCCTGCCCTGCGCAATCGAATTCGATCCAAGACGAAAGGGTCCAAAAAAAGCAGAAGAAGGGAAAGAAGGAGGTGAAAGTGAAGGTGAAAGTGGCTACTTAGACATCAAAACAAAACGTTAAGAAGGAAAATAAAATCCCAGGGCGGTCGAGGAGACAATGATTCTCCTCGGCCTCTCAAGCCGCTATTTCACATTCGTCACCATCGCCATCCTCCTGATCATTGCCATTCTCTACGGCTCTTTCTCCCACGTGTACAGTGGCCCTCTGTCATACCTGCCAAAATCACAGTCCCAGCTGCCGCTATGTCGCGCCTCCAGCCCGGCAGCGGGTTCCGATAACAATAACAGCAAAGTTGGTGCGTGTATTGGAGTCAAACCATGGAAATTCGAGACGACCCATGACGGAGATAACTACGGCTTGAGCAGGGCGCAGTGCCAGCAGGCGTTTCCGAAGCTGTATATTGAGATTGAGAAGGCGGTTGCGGCAAGGCGTGGACGGAATATTACCTTTGACGAACTGAATTCGAAGCCGCTGAAGAACTCGATGGTTAGAGCGATGATATATCAGGGTGCGGTGAGTAAATCTAGAAAAAAAAGAAAAGGAAAGGAAATGTATCCCTAACCTTAGGAGTTGATTTTGATGAGAAGAGTCCCGTGAAGAAAGAGAAGTATACGGTGCTGATGTACAAGGTACCCATCTACTCTAGCTATACGTCATAAATTTTGAGGACATGAGATATACCTTCAGCCGAGCAAAGGCGTCTCTGAATGCCCTAAACCGTGCCCTAAACGCCGTCCCAAACCGCTATGAAATACCCAACATTGAATTCATCTTCACAACGGAAGACTACCACGACGACCCGCATCCCATATGGGTGTATTCGAAGCGCGAAACCAACGGCTGGGCCTGGCTCATG